ACATCCTTGTTTGTGCTTCATAAGGAACATACTATTTTGTATTGACTTTTTATATTGACAACATAATCTTGATAGGGAACAATGAACCTATGATTACCTCCTTAATCACAATGATGCATGTTGCCTTTTTCTATTAAAGATCTAGGCAGACTTCATTAATTTCTTATTTTAGAGGTCAATTACACAACTAGCGGTCTATTTCTCAGCCAAGTAAAGTATGCTTCAAACATTCTCATGTTTTTAACTTCATGAAAGAAAGAGTGTAGCAACACTCATGGTGTCTGGTTAGAAATTGCAACGTTTCGGGAATCCATTCAATGACCCTACTTTATATTGCTCATTGGTGGGTGCATTCCAGTATTTAGCCATCACTCATATTGACATTTCATTTGTGGTCAATCATGTCAGCCACTTTTTATAGAATCCTACTGATGATCATTTTCTTCCGGTTAAGCGTATTCTACGACTCTACATTATGTGAAGGACACATCACATATCAGGTTGACTTACTCTTGCTCCTATCCTTGTTTTCTCGCTAATTCAAATGTTGATTGGGCATCTTGTCCTGACACTCATAGATCAACCTCGGGCTATTCTCTTTATCTTGGTTCTAGTCTTGTATTGTGGTGCTCCAAAAATAGCCTATTGTCTATCGCTCATGTTGTGAGTATGAGTATCGCTCCCTTGAAAATGTTGTTGCAAACATTATTTAGGTCACACATCTCCTTATAGATTTACACATTTCTCTTACAACTTGTCTCTCTTGCTATGTGACAACAAGGGAGCAGTGTTCATTAGTGACAACCCAATCACTTATAAACGTGCAAAACATAGTGAACTCGACTATCATTTCACTCAGGGAACCTAAAGACTTCATTTATTCCATCTCACTTAAACATTGCAGATGTATTCACTAAAAGTCTTCCTCGACCCTTGTTCTCCACATTTCGTTCCAAGCTCGGACAAAATCCCACGATTCGCCTGAGAAATGGGGGAAAGGGGGGGGGGGGGGGGGATTAAGTAATAATAACAAAGATTATGCAGATCCTAATTTAGATTAATTTTTTTCCTCGTGTCTTACTCTTATATGTATTTTTTTTAATCTTTGTATTTCTTACCTCTTTGTATACTTGTGTATATATGAAAAGTCTCATGCCTTCAATTAAAGCATATATTTCTAATTTAATTAAAATAAAATAGTGGTGTGACAACCGACAATCAGGTTGAATGGGTTGGAAAATATGAAAAAGAAATGAAAGAAAAAATTTGATGTGACATTGAGTTGGCGAATAGTTCATTCCCCCCACCCTAAGAGAACCTTTATTATACTAACACAAAAAACCTAAAATCCCCGGAATAATGAATATGGTGATGACACCATTGCGGGGTGCGCCTAAACGTCTCTCATATCCTTGGCCATGTACTAGGCATGCATAGATTTGACACATCCGTTAACCTTTACTAAATCATATAAGGGTTTAATATAATGAAGTCTTATAAACGACACAAATCTTTTTCCCACCACTAATATCGTCAAATTGCATTTAATACCATTAATCTAACACGTTATCTATCTTGTCTATTTTTTTCTCTTATTTTAGCAACAATTGACAGAAATTTGGCTTTAAAATAAAGATAAGCTGAATTATGTTACTATTTTGCATAAAAAAACGAATTGTTTTAAATGAAATTTTGCATCAAATACGTGGATTGTTAATCATAGTCAGTGCCTCGGCTTCATAAATCATAATCATACAAAGTTCGGTGTCTTCTTTGTATCCATTTACGTTGTATGGTCGGTGTCAAACACCATAAATCAAAACGTTGATCACATTTTCCGGTTGTCCCGTTGGCAAGTAGAGTTAATCATCTCAAGTTGCTTTCTATTTAGAATGGTTTGGTTTTATAATAATAATTCGTAAAAAGGATAAACCTTTGTAAACAAGAATTCCCTCCTTTCACGTCTAGTTCACTTTTCACTGGTTATACTTTAGCTATAAGCATCAAAAAAAGTTCAAATTCATAATCATTACTATCTACATAGTCTAAAGAGTAATTTAACATCAAGAAAACATAATAACTCATCTCATAGTCACATGATGGAATAATAAAGACAAGTTAGTGAAAGACTTTTAGCAACCTCTCCTACACGAAAATAGAAAAAGTTAGCTGCTATCTGATAAAAAAAACGTTTGATAAAAATAGTTGATAAGGTAACTTAAATATGTAAAATAATATTATAAAACATATAAAGTTTTAAGTTATAAGCTACTAATTACTAGACTAGTTAATACTACTCTTAAGCCTTTATGGGTTTCATAAACAAGTTAAAAGTGTTTGGTTTCATGAAAATGAATATATAAATTCAATCCCACCAACTAGAGGTTCAAATTTCGATAAATAATTTATCTATAAATAGATAATAATCAAATAAGAACCCTAGAAATGTAAAAACCAGAAAACATGAAACTGGGGACCAACACCCATCAAGAATCTTGAAATAAAAAGGGGAAGTATTTAATGGATGGTGTAAGTGGTGGAGGCCATGGTTTTCTTTAAGTGGTTTTCCCCATTCATTGCATACACATGTCTTTCAAACCCCTTATTCTTTAGTGCACTTCACATGTCTTGTTTTTTCAAGATAAAATCTGGTCAATATACCCTTTTCTTTTGACTTTTAACCCAATCTCTCTCAAATTTACCACAATCTTCTTACCTTTCCTCTTTCCACCTTTGACCAATGCCATAGATATAAAGTTTACTAGGTGATGTAGGTCTAGGTGTAAATATAAATTTAGATTAGACCTTTACCCTTTTACCATTTATCTATTATTATTTGTTTCTTGCTTTCCTCCATTAAGGGTTATTTGATAGTTGTTAATTGTTATCGAGTCAAACTTAGTTAAATCTAACCGAATAAGAAACATTTCAAAGGAATCAAGACCAAATCTGAGGTTTATATGTGATATCAAACAATCTAAATTTGACCAAATCAGACTCAGACTCAGCCTCTTATCAAACACAACAAAAAGCATATTAAACATCCCCTAATATTTCTAGTTTAAGTGTGTATGTCTTTTAGTTATTTCTTCTTATGGGAATGGGATATCACTAATGCTATTGCATATACACAAAAACTAGCAAATAAGAAAACGTAAAAAAGATTGAATTTTTATTGATGAAATGGTTTAACAAAAAGAAAACCCCCAAAGTATATAACTAATCAAGTACAACTGAGGCCTACCATTACAATTGCTTCCTCCAAATTTTCTCTTGTTTTCTTTTTGTATATATCTTCATGTTATCTCATATATATACACAAAGGACATATCCATATCTTGAACAAGCCATGGGAGCCCACTTTTAATTACATTGGGTACACGCTATCTCAATTGGAGGAAGACACGATAGGCACAAACATGATAGGCTTATGAGAAAGGGGGTAAATTGGGAATTCTAAAAAAAGCTAAACATTTTGATGAGAAAAGAATGATATGGGTATTGAAAATGGCTACTAAAGATTTCATAGAGCAATAGTGGTGAAGTGGGGTGGGGTGGGGTGGGGTGAATGAATGGAATCTTGAATCTTGAAGTTTTAATAAACTTGCAAAGCTTATGATAAATTTACTAATCTAACCCTCTCTTGTTCCCACTTACATTTTTGACTTTCAACTTGAGCTCTTAATGATGAAATTATTGTGGTTTTTATGTAGTAATGAAGAAGATGAAGCTGTATCAGTAGATGAAAACCGGGGGTGTATGATGAGAAGGAAATTACCATTCTGCCCTTCATCACACTCAAAGGTGGGGTTTAAATGGAAAATTACCATTTCGCCCTTCAGAAGCTGTAATTGCGGACAGAGGATTCCAACACTTCTCGACAAGGGCATACCATTTCCTTCACACGGTTTCCTTTTTTGTAAATCTTGATTGTTGGCACAATTCTGACATTCTCAACACTTGCAATTTCAGGGTTCTCTTCAATATCAACCTTTCATTAAAAAAGAAAAACTATTTAACAAATGTATACATGCTTCCCGATTGCAAAAATCAAAACTTTTTTATAAACCCATGATTTTTTCCCTTTTGGGTGTTTGAATATAGTACAAGAAACGTATAAAGAAAGTTACAATTGTTGTACCTTGAGAAAATTTATAGACGGATATTTGGCACATAATGTATCAAGAAAAGGAGATATTTGCTTGCATTGAAGATCAGATGTTGTTCTAAAAAGAACAACAGAAGCTCCTGCATTTCAAATTTTACAAAAAGTTAAAAACTTTAGCAAGAAACGAAGGGCGTTTTGGGAAAAATAAAGAACAAACAAACCAGTTGAAGCAATTGCAGCTTTGAACTGTTCAAGACCGGTTATTAATTCAACTTCACCACCAAATTTCATATTATAAACTTCTTCCCCAAGTGACTTTTTTAATGCCACTTGGGCATGAAATAAAGATTCTGCTATATCATTATTATTTGGAAGCTCTCTTCTCAAAACTTCATAATCTCTCACTGATTCGCTCCACCTCTCAAGCTGCAATTTGGAAAAAGAAAACATATTTCAAAATTTTGATCAAAAAAGCAAATACCCTTTTATGGGCAAATTTCAGGATATAGCAACATAATTTACTCTTGTTATGAATATAGACAATGTAACTCATAAGAGCAACTTACTTACATTTCTTTAGCACAATGACAATATGTAACAAATAATGTGTACAATGTCTATATTGGTAACAAAAATGTAAAACTGTAATTATGCTGTTACTTGTTATTATAAGTAAAAATTAAAACACATTGCTATTATCGATACAAGAATGTAAGTATGTTGCTAATATGGTTAAGGTATTTGTTAATGTGTAACTCATAGTTAAGAGGCTTGTGAACATGGCTTGAGTTCAACAAAAAGGAAAGTTTAGATTATATTGTAGGAAGGGTATATCAGGCAACATAAATGACTTTGAATGCTCCCCTTCTTTACTTCCAATTTCACTATCTTTATTATAAAGAGTAAAAACAAGAATCACTATATATATTATATATATATATATAATATATATAGATATATATATAGATATATAATATATATATATACCTTGCTATATGTGGCAGCTCGTCGAAGAAGGGCTTTTGTGTAATTTGGATGAATGAGAAGTGCTTGATTGCAATCATCAAGAGATCTTTCAAACAACCCGAGTTTAAACCAACATGCTGCTCGATTACAATAAAGAATTGGATTTGAAGGATCAAATCTAAGCCCTTCACCATAAGCTGAACAAGCTTCTGTGAATCTTTCTGACTTAAAAAGATCATTCCCACGTGTTCTTGCTCTTGATAATGACCTTATATTTTGAAGCAAAACAGCAATCTCAACGTTTCTTGGATCAATTTGTCCTGATTTCTCAATAGAAGTAACCGCATTCTCAAATCTTTATGAAAAAAAAAAACAAAAAAAATGTCATTTTGAATCATTTCCCATGTGGGAAATCGTTTATATAAGTTAATAATACAACAACAATAACTCCCAAGTCCCATAAGAATGACCTCTAGCATAAATAAACAAAAAAAGCACAAACAGTAAAAGTAAATACTAAAATGATTGATGCAAATACAAAAAGAAAAACTCACCTTCCAAAAGACATGTCGATTTGAGCACGAACAAAAAAGAGATATGCTTCTGAAAGCATTCCAAAAAACTTTGCTTGTGAACATGAAGCGCTACTAGATGCTTCGAATTTAGGTATGTTTAAAATGGTCGCTTCTGCATCATCTAATTGACGAAGCTTCAATAGGGCTTCGGCTTTGCACGCAAATAGCTAAAAAGTTTGATAACAACATATTCAGTTTCTTAATTTCATTATAATAACGATAATGATTCGATAATAAACTGTTTACCTGAGGACACGTGTCTGCTCCAGATGAGATTGCAGCATCACTTTCACGTAACACGCCAACCCAGTCCCGGACTCTTCTACAGTCGGTGCATTTGCTCAAGTGTTTTTCCACAAGTTGTAATTTTTGGAGCTCTTTCGGGTCGGGTTGATACCCGGGAAAATAAAGGTGTGTCCTTGCATTTTCAACCTGTCCTAAACTGCCATTGGTTACATGAGATTAGATGAATAACCTAATGAAAAATGATGATTCATGATTATGGGTAAATGAAGAAGTAAAACACAAGAATGGGAAATGATGATTGGAACATAGTTCGGAAAATCAAAGGTCAACGAGATGAATTAGATCTGAGAAATGGGTTTGGGTGAAATTTTCAAGATTTGTTGAAAAGGGTATAGTGAAAAAGAGGAAAAGATTTGAACTTTTATTGAACTCACCTAATAAGAAGAGATCCTAAGCGATGGTGAGCTCTCACATATCCAGAATCCAATTTAATGGCTTCGTCGCATTCTTTGACTGCTTCGGTCAACCTTTTCAGACACATCAATGCGGCTGCTCGGTTGCAGTGATAGGCTGCATTCGCCGGCGATTGAGCTATTGCTCGATCGTAGAAACTCAATGCCTCTAAAAAGTGTCCCTTTTTGTACTCTTCGTTTCCTAGTATTTTCAAATCTTCCGGATCCATTGATGATCTCTTTGAAAAGGGTGAATTTGAAACGCCGGAAACAGGAGTTTCTGGTTTACCGCCGGAGACGGTGGATTTGATGGTGGGACTGGAACTGGAACCGGAACCGGAACCCAAACCTCCCCGCATTATGCTGCCGTGGCCGTAATTACCGGTGCCTAGACTTAACACATCGGGTTTAGAGGTTCGACTTGTCATCATCCCCGTTTTGAGAACCCTCCCGGAAGGGCATATATTTCCGGTAGGAAGTACATTGACAGGCGGAGATGTAGCGGAACTTCCACCGGTGAAAATTGATGGGTGGCCGCCGCTGATGCTACCGGATTCCGACCGAGTGTGACCTGATTTAACACCTCTAGCCCCACCAACGGAAAATGTAGGTGAACTGTCGACTGACAACTCACCGGAATGGTTATTGGGAGTACCACTGGAGTCTGACTTTCTAGTACCGGAACCAACCTGGAGTCCATTTCCAGTCCGACCCGAAACCGATCCGGATGAGCTAGAGCTGCTACTAACCGCTGGCCCATCTCGTAAAGGCGAAATGGGCGAACCCAAATCAAGTTCTCGGAAGTCTGGTTTATTGGTGTTATCGCCGCCGCAAGTGACCGTCTTCCGGAGGCGATCGGAGAGTGTATCAAACCCTAACCCCGAATCCGGCTTCCGTGAATGCGACATTCCCGAATAACTTCAGAAAAAAATACCCTTCACCAACAGAGAGATAAAGCTTCAAACTTTCTCTCTCCCCACACAATCTTTTCTACTGATGTTACCAATGGCTGTGGTTGAAACTAAAATACAACCACCGACGAATTACAACACAGAGAAACATAGAACACAAGAAGGAAAGAAAAAGAAAGAAAAAGATGGGGATCTCGTGATTTAAAGGGGAAGCAAAGAATGAATGTGAAATGGTTGAAGATAGAGAGAGAAAGAAAGAGAAGGGTTTCACAGAGAGAGAGAGAGAGAGAGGAAAGAGAAGAGAAGGAGATGATGGATTTTTTATATTATTTTCAGATTTTTTTTTTTTTAATTTGTAATTTAATTATTTCCCCTTCTTGCCTGCTGCTTCACGAGCTGGAGGTTACCCTCTTTAAATACTCTCTATTTTTTGTAGTATTTTATTATTATTATTTTGGTTTCTTGATCTATGCTATCTCTTCTATTTATAATAATGAAATACCTAAACCCCATTAAATGTTGCTCGATATCTAATCAATCACTTTTTATTATATATTGTTTCCATTTTTTTTTCAATAATTTAAATGAAATTCTAGTGGATGAAAAGGGTACCCACAAATTAAAAAGGAGAAAATTTTAGTTAAAACGAATTAAATGGGCAAAGTATTTTGAAGGTCAAACAAGAAAGATGTGACAAATAACGTGTGAAAAGTTTTAGTCTAATAAATTTTGAAATGGGTACGATGTACAATGAGTTATTAATGAAATACAATGAATTGTATGTGTATTTGATAAGTAGTAGTATATAACTATATATTGTATACCATATCAATAAATGATTATTTCACATCCGAAACTTTAAACATATTATTCCATCATATTATAAGTTTATGGTATAAATGATATAAAATGAGATAACTTGCGTAACCATGTGCCTTTTGAAAGTCAAAAGGAGACCATAAAGAAACTAACAAACTCATGGGAACTCTTATCAAACTTTCTAACAGCAACCCGATAATAAATCGTTGTTATCTAGTAAATGCAATATAAGCATTTTGCGTGTAGGCTTAAAGTTTTTATAGGTTTAAGGATATATGCTTTTATATTGTACATTGGTACAAATATACATGCTATGTTGATATCTTTGATCTCATGTTAGAAGTACATGTATAGTGATGAATAAGATTCTAGATCGAATATGCTTACCCCAAGTGAATTTTTTAGGGTAATTATGATAAAACTGAATTATTTAGGGTGATTATGGTAAAACTGACTAAGATCGTCAGTTTTGGAAACCATTGATTTTCTCATTAATTTCGGATTTCATTGACTTGTTTCCAAAGCAACTCATGATGGCCAACCCTAAAACAAAACCATATTTATCGTTTTCTTATATAAACGACTCTCCTCTTGAGGAGAAAGGACGACCTTTTTAGCTCTTGTTTTCTTCATATGAACTCAAAATCTTCTAGCAATTTGGCTTACGTTTTCTGTGCCTAAATTCGTAAGTGTCCTCTTAGGATTATCCTAAGCTGAGTTTCTTGTAACCCGGGTATAGGGTAGAAATATCAGTTCGGAAAGTGTTTACACGATTCAAGGGATATTCATATCTCCAATATAACCCTACCTAATTTTCTAACAATCGAACTGACATTTTCTGTTTCTGGATATCGGTGAATCAATCTGCGAGATGACCACGAAGTTCGCAAAACTAGAGAAGTTTGAAGGCGTTGATTTCAAACGCTGGAAGAAGAAGATGCACTTCATGCTGACCACTCTTAAGGCAGCATACATGTTGACTACTCCAAGACCACCTGAATCGGAGGAAGGTATTGATGAGACACTTGAAGAGACCATGAATAGGCAAAAGTGGGACAACGATGACTACATCTGCAAAGGTCACATCTTGAACGGTATGTCTGATGCTCTATTTGATATCCATGGTGATGCTTTAATTGCTAAGGATTTGTAGGACACCCTTGAATTGAAATACATCACTGAGGACACTTCTAGCAAGAAGTTTCTGGTTAGTGACTTTAATAACTTTAAGATGGTCGATTCAAGGTCTGTCACTGAACAATACAATGAACTCCTTGGTATTTATGGTCAATTTAAACTGCACAACATGAATATGGATGAATCCATTGTTGTGTCGAGTGTAATTGACAAACTTCCACCATCTTGGAAGGATTTCAAACATAACCTAAAACATCAAAAGGTGGAGTTGTCATTGGTTCAACTTGCTAGTCATATTCGTATTGAAGAATCTCTTCGTATGAAGCAAATTGACAAATCTGATAAAACCAAAGGGAAAGTTGAATCTGGACAACCCTCTGTTCATATGATTGAAAATAAAGCTAGGAACCCGAACCATAAAGGACATGACAAACATAAGCATGAACATGTCCCAAATAACTCCAACAAAAAGAAAAAGGAATTGGTTTGTTGGAGGTGCAACAGGGTGGGGCATTGCAAGCGTGATTGTCATGTGAACTTAGGCAACAATAATAACAATAATGGTTTTGGAAACAGTGGAGCCAATGAAAGTATGAACGGGTCTTTGGGCCAAGTTGAAAGAGGTCAGTTTTTTACTAACTTTGATCATTCTAAACAGAATTATGTTTATTACGTTTCACTAATTCCTGAATCATTCTATGTACAGGATGATGATGTTGCTTAGTGGACCGACTCTGGGGCAACGAACCATGTATGCAAGGATAAACGGTTGTTTGAAACATTGACACCGCTTGAATATGGATCGGTGCTGAGAATGGGATACGATTCTTCTATACCTATTGTGATGTCGGTGTCTTGTGTCTTGAATTTACTTCTGGAAAGACTATTAGGCTTTTTGATGTTTTGTTTGTCCCTAAGATTCGAAAGAATCTTATTAGTTCTATTTGTTTGAATTCTGATGGTTTTAAAGAAGTTATTAAGTCGAATAAGTTCATCTTATCTCGAGGTGGAATGTTTATTGGTTTTGGATATTTATATAATAGAATGTTTCGTTTGAGTACTGTTGACAAATTATTACCTGTTCAAAATTCTGCATTTGTATCTTCTACTTCTAATGTTGATAAATCTATATTTTGGCATGTAAGATTAGGTCATGTCAACTTTAGAAGGATGCATGAGATGTCAAAAGATGGATTAATTCCAGCCTTTGACATGACTTCTGATAAATGTAAAACATGCATGCTTACAAAAGTGACAAAATAACCATTTCCTAGTGTCACTAGAAATTCGGTTATTTTGGAACTTGCACACAGTGACTTGTGTGATTTTCACTCCACTCCTTGGGAAATAAAAAGTATGTAGTCACCTTCGTTGATGACTACACTCGATTTTGCTATGTGTATTTGTTACATTCTAAGGACGAAGCCTTAGATATATTCAAAATATACAAAATCGAGGTGGAATTGCAATTGGGTAATCTGGTTAAGTGTCTTAGGACGAAGCCTTAGATATGTGTATTTGTTACATTCTAAGGACGAAGCCTTAGAATACTTTTAGAAATAAATAATTTCTTGTTAAAAGCATACATACATGCATACATACTAAGGTCAGTATCATACTAGAACAGAACAAAAGTGGTGATTGTTGAACAACACAAGTAGGCTTGGGGATGTATAGTCAGGTCTGTGAATGACATAGCCTGATCAACTATGTCTAACCCAGAAGTGATTAGCATATGCCCAGGAATGGTTGTAGTGTTGCAGCAAGTCTAAAAACTTACCAACTCTACCTACCAAGAAACATTGAGAACATAAGTCAAACATTTAAAATACTATAGGAGTATTTTGTGCTACTATAACTAACTTATGTGAAAACTAAAGACCCTTATCAGTAGGTCTATAATGACTGAGTACATACACTAAGGTTATATATAATTAAAGATATTATAGACTCAGAATCTATGACTATTGCTCTACTTCTTGTTCCTTGTTTGGTTGTGGATTTAGAGTAGAGTCATTTATTCGAAGGTCTATTCTATCTCAGATTATGTATAACTGGTATGCACTATGTAATTATAGAAATGACTAATAAGGATCACCCCTTATAAGTAATTGTAGGATTAGACGTCTATTAATTATCCCTCCTACCCCTATTCTCGCACGAACAACATGGCAAAAGCTCAACTACCAGGAGACCCCTATTCTCCTAACCAGGAAGATGGTGGTTAGAACGAAGAAAGCTCCGAAGAGGATCCTGAGGAAATAATAGAGTAAGACCCCGAAGACAATTCAGATGAAGATCCGGAGGAAGCGAAACCAAAAAAGAAGACAAAGACAAAGAAGAAATAGGAGAAGACTCTGACGAAGAGCTCGAGGTCTACAATACACCCTCCAGTCGCCACACCCCGACGAGGCTTCCATGGTCCGACACCTCGATAAGCCGTAGATCTACAGAGACGGAGTTAGGAACAAGGTTAACACCCTCCCTATGACATGGATGAGGATTTTACAACCTCAACAAGAGGAAGATTAGTAGACAGGGATCTCCTTGTCATAATACGCTGCATCACTCACTGGAGCATACAAACACGGGCATCGGTCAGCCGAAATCATGGAGGTTGGCGCTACCACCAAGATCACCGCAATTCGCCTTCGTCACCTGGATGGAGACCATGAATAGATCAGAAACCACATCAAAGCCTTCAGAGGGAAGTGACCGCAACCCGAGCCGAAATTAGGAGTATCGGGAACTTCACATAGCGTTAGAGAAAACGCGTGGTAAAAGCATAACATCAAGTGGCAGAAGCCAGGGCAGAGGATAAGACAATGCAGACTTTCATGACTCTATTCTATGGCCCACGGAACATCACCCGCCACGAGTAGTGTGTATACTATTGACATATCATTACAGACTCAAACTCCTGGCGTGCGTTTGAACACTGCCCCGTCATATACATAAATTCGACCCTTCAAATTTAGAAACTACACTATTCAAGGGGTCGTGTCACTATCAAAATTTTTCCCATTTCATTAAAAAAAACGTAGACCTATTATAAGGTCAAATTTTCCTGAACTCTATGCACTAGATTATATCAATAAAATTTGGCATGCATTTCATTTCATTAGGAGTTTACCATACATTTCATAACTTGGTATTACAAACGATTTACTTATGATAACTCTAAAAGTACTTAAAGTATACCTCAAGGTTATGTGTAATTAAGAGACGGTCGACTTAGAAATGGTGAGTCCGCCTTGGGTCCTGTTCCTTGTTTGGTTGTGGGTTCAGGGCAGACTCATTAAGACCAACGGCCTATC